CATGTTGGGGACTATGGACCCCCAGGCCCTGAATTTCCTGAAGGTCCCCTTGCCTGCCTGAGTAAACAACTTGTTATGCTTGCAGCTGCTCTGAGAAAAACAACTTGTTTTCCTGTGCTTGCAGCTGCTCTGAGCACGAGGCAGGGGAATGGTTTCTGATGGCTTGCAGCTGAAGGATTCCGAGGGCTAGGGCGTGGCCATTGCTCAGGGAAGGCACTATATAAACTGCCCTGGAACACAATAAAGTTGGCATCTGACTGACCTCATCCCACTTTTTCAGGGTTCCTCCAAAGATGGTCCAGAGACACCCGAAAGAGCCCAAACTTAGATTCTATGATGAGAGCGAGGTGTTTAAAGCTCCTTATGAACAAAGTGGGAAATTGCACATCCAAAGACAGAAGCTAGATAGCTCGGAATGTAGCTAACCCATCACAGCTGCGCTTCGTGTTCATACAAAAGCCTTAATTGCTCAGTTTTTTTAAAAGATTTTATTTGTAACCATATGTATGTGTGTATGGATGTGCACTTGAGTGCACCTGCAGACACCAAAGGAATTAGATTCCCTGGAACTGAAGTAACTCATGGGTATGGGCCACCGGATGTGGGTGCTAGGGACCAAACGCTGGCCCTCCACACGCACAGCCCTCCTCCTCACCCTGAGCCATCTCTCCATCCCCTAACCTGCTTACATTTGAACAATGAACCTGAAATAGTCACAGACTTTCAGAAAACACCCACACTGAGCACCACTCCCTCAGATGGTCACACACTTCCAATAGGGAGTGAATTTAAATCCCGTCATTCCGCTGCCATTTCTCGGCTCTGCTCCTGAAGTCCCAGCTGGCTGCAGCAACACCAGAGTCAAGCGTGGTCTGAGACACCAGGGAGGGGGGCTTTCGTCCATGCCTGATGGGAACCGAGGCCTGCTGCCCCTGTGTGCTGGGGAGATGAGTGGGCTTTTAAATAAAGTTTGCAAGCATCATGTCCTGCGCCCCAAGAACGTTTACTTGTAGTCAAAGCAACCCTGAAGATGGTGCTTTATTCTGGACCTGGGGATCAGGGCACGCAGGGTTCTTGGGCTTCCTAGCAGACAGAACCAAAAGCAGCAGGAGCTGGCATACCTGTACAATTTTCATTTTGCTTCTGCCACCTTTACTTACACCCGACAACAAAAACTCCACTCTTGGTCATCAGTAGTGAGCTTAGGGCTTTATGTTGGGGGGAATGGGGTTTGTGTTTTTGTTTGTCTGGTTTCATTTCTTTGTCTTGCTTTGAAAGAGGCTCTGTAGAAGTCTATAGCACTTCCGAGGCAAATTTTATAAAGCAACATTTTGCAACACTAGATTTTTCAAAGACCCGAACAGCCCCGAACACATGGACCTAGAACCTGAAGCTTTTCAACTCCAAAAGCTGTGCCCCTTTTCCCAAAGCAAGGCACATGCTTGCGAGTCAGACCTCACATCCAGTCCCTGAGTCTCCGGACTCATGACTCCAAGTTTAGCCTGCACCTCATGAGTGAAACCAGTCTGAAGAAAACTGGGGATGTCTTGAGTTCAAATGTTCCTAAATTAGCACCTAAATTACGTGTGCAGGGAAGGGAGCTAAGTTTTTGCTCTCCGACTGTACTGATGCCCAATAAAGGTGCAAATGTCACAGCCTACGCTAGGATACAGGAACTATTTAATACTACAGTAATTTAGAAAGTCTGTGTGTAAAGCCTCTGACTGAGCATCTGAGTGGCCAGGCCCTTCCCTTGCAGAACTCTATCAGGCTCCACACACAGAACACTGTAAGGCAGCAAAGGCTGGACCCAGAGCCTCCAGACTCCAGTGGCCAAGCTCTCTCTGCCTTAGAGAGTAAAAAGCCTGAGCTCAATTCTGGGGCTTAAAAACCCACCAATGCCTGAGTTCACTCCGAGCTCAAGACTACAAATCCCACCAATCCCCATCCTGGCAAGCTCCACCAACCAGAAAACTTCCACCAGTGTTCTCTACCTTCCTAATGTTGGGACACTTTAATATAGTTCCCCCTTGATATGTTGGAGTGACCCCCCCCCCATGAAAACAAAATCATTTTCATTGCTACTTCATAACTGCAATCTCGCTACTGTCATGAACTATAATGTAAATACGCATTTCCCAAAGGTCTGAGGTGGCCCTTGTCAGAGGGGTGCTCAATCCCAAGGAGCAATGGACAAGTTGAGACCCACTGCCCTGCCCAACGCCATCTCCTACTTAGTTCTATACTCTTTCTCGCCTGAGCAGAGGCAGCCACCCTCTTGCATCTTTCCCCAGGAATCTCTTGTGTGAGGTTTATTGTGCCATGTGACTTTGTGGTGTTCCTTGGATCCTGGCTGCCAGGACACCTCTCTCCCTCAGAGCTGTAATGCATGCAATGGGGAATCCTTTCCTCTCACAACTGCAACACTCACAATCTGTACATTTTTAGGACACACTTTTTCTAAACATTTCTACCCTGTGGTTGGCAGAATCTATGAATACAGAACCTACGCACCCGAAGGACTGACTGTATTTATCAAACAGATATCAGTTTGGAAATACCTGCTGGAGCTAATCCATAAAAGTCATCCCCTAAAGCAGCAATAAAATCTCCAGATTTTATTGTTTTTTTTTTCCCCTCGTGATCCAAAGGAGTCACAGAATGAAAAGGGGTTCCTAGACTAACCAATAACATGTTCCCTACGTGCAGTGGCTCCAGAAGGGTAGACTGAGCTGGGAACTGGTACCTCGGCTGTGTGTACAACGGGAGGGCAAAAGGCCTGACTTCCTAGTTAACTAGGGTCAGAGTCAGGGACACACGACAGAGGACAGCTATTATCTGACTTGGCTTTCTGGTGTTTTACTCCTTAGTTTCACAGGGCTCCAATCAGCTCCTAGGCCCAGCCCTAACTCATACCTTTACCATCCCCCTCCCTCTAATCCACACTAAGGCAAGAATCCTGCTAAAGAAGGCAAATCAATGTTCACACAACTTTTATTTATTGAAATAAAAATCACTTTCCACAACCCCCAAGGAGATGCTGCCAAACAGCCTGCTGAATGGTAGTTCTGAAAGCATCTGTTGGTTAAGTTCATTCAATCTTGTTTGACCGTCCAGCTGACCTTACCCACGAGATGATACCATGCGGTCCTTTACCATACTATAGTTCCTACAGCACAGCCAACTGCGTCAGACAAGTGTGCTTTCCCTGATTGATACACAGGTGTAAACGGAATAAAGGGATGTTCTGGAATGAGATGCCACCTTCACCATGACAGAGTAGAGCTGGAGGCTGAGTAGATTATCACCCACCCCCGCAGGGCATTTCCAACTGCATAAATTCAAATCAAAAACACATTAAACTCACAGGATTTCAGATTAGATGAAACCACTAGATAAATGTGTGTGTCTGTGTGTGTGTGGGGGGGAGATTTCCATATTCTGTGTTTTAGCTAAAATACAAGTCCTGCAAACAACTGAATGGAAGAAGACACCATCTTGGGGCTGAAGGAATGACCTGGTCGTTAAGAGCACTTGTTGTTGCTCTGGTAGGAGACTAGAACTCAGGTCCCAGTACCCAAGTGGTGTATCCACCCGGATCTGTAACTCCAATTCTATGGGATGAAATGCCCCCACTTCTGACCTCAGGAGGCACCAGGCATGCCTCTGGAACACATAAATACATACATGCAGGGAAAACAGACTTTTTTTTGTTTTGGGGTTTTTTTTTTTTTTAGAAAAATCTTTTTTAAAAGTATCATACAAAGCAGCAACGTTATGACAGCTAAAAGCAATGTTCCATTCCCAACAAACTGCTTTAGGATAAGTTATTATGCATCGGCAGGCAGGCTCTTCGTTTCCGATAGGCCTCGATGCTCTCTTCAATTCTCGGTTCTCTACCTGTCCCATGAGCAAACCGAGGATTGTATCTGAACAGTTTCGATAATGGGTTATTCTGTTCTCACTGCTGCAATTCCCCGACGGCCATTCATTTTAAACAAACCTCTCGTAGCGAACGAGCAAACACCACACTCTCCTCTCAGTACCAGGTTACCAGGTGGGTCCCTTCCCTAGAGTGACGCAAGTTCCCTGTGAGGTGTCAACACTTCAAAGAGCAGAGACCCCCCCCTCCCCCCTGCATCTGCCTGGAACACCCAGAGCCAAAACACAAATATTCTCTGGGTGAAGATTGCAAATTCCACTCGTGCTACCTCCGAAAACAAACGGTTGGGCAATGTCTTCCTTGGCAGTCGCCTTTCCTAAAAAAGCAGTCGCTTCTCCCAAAGGCTGGCAGTATGAAAAATAAAACCTACTCAGTTCAAAGTCAAACCCTGCCACCGAATACAGCCATCTGTGCTTGCTGCTGACATCATCCTTTCCACGCTCCTCCATCTAATATTTTCTTTAAAATGCTTTGCTGGTTCACTCGGACCTCTAATTAATTCCGAAGCCTTAAACCTTGGGAGTTTTCTCCTTCCTCTTGCCAAATCTCCCATTCCATTCCCTTCCTCGGGTCCATCTTGCCCGCCATCCCTCCCCAGAAAGCACTCTCCTTCCCAGGGGATCACCGGCCCTTTCCTGCCAGGAATGTGCGTTCCTCTGGGCCTGCTGCGGGTCCACCAGCGCGCTGACACTATTCCCAAATTCTCCTCGGCCACAGTGACAACCAGGCCCCCCACCGCGCGCCTCCCGGCCGCCAGGCTTACAACGCCCGGGGCCTGGCTCGCCAAGCGCACCGGAGCTCTTCCAAGCGTTCCGGATTCCCGGGTGCCTTGTCCCCGAGCCTCGAGAGGCGGCCGAGAGCACCCGAGCAGCCGCGGTGGCCGGGGCCCAGGGCGTGGCAGCTCGCCGAGATGAGGCGCTCCACCGAGGAGCGACAAGCGACCGAAGGAGCCTTGGGCCCGGGAGCCCGGACCCGCGGTCCCTAGAAGGCTGCGCCCCGAGAGGGCCGCTCCGCCGCCGCCCAACCGTCTTCCCCTGCACGCCCGCCCCGCACTCACCTCGGCGAGCCGCTGGCACCCGCTGCGATGCTGGCCGCGCTCGCTTCCTGCGCGTGGACAACAGGATCCCCGCAGCCGCACGCACGCCCGGCGCGCGCCTCCTGCACGCGCGCGCGCGCGCGCGACCAACCGGCACCCGCAGCCCGGAGCTGTCCTCGCCACCGTGGTCGGCCACGGCCACGGCCACGGCCGCGGGCGCTGGTATCTCCGCCGCAGGCTCCGGACTGAAGTGCAGGTCTGCTTAAGATGCGTGCAGGGAATGAAAGGTTGAGGACACTCCTGGTGCCTTAGGTCCCTGTGGGTAGGAGGCTCAGGGAGTCAGTCTCTGGCACACAGCCCGCACCTCCTCAGCCCCAAATGCTTCCAGAAACAGTTCATTCCTATGGACACTTAATCATCTCCCGCTCTGAGTCGTCCCCACCCAAATAGTGCCTCCCTCGGGGAGAGGAGGGGAGGAGAGGAAAATAAAGGGAGGGAAGATAAGGGAGGGGACAGGCTTCGGTCAAGAGAGCTGGGTGTTGCTATACTGGCCCTGCTCGTTCCGTACTTTGGGTGGAGGTGGCTCCATTCCAAAATAAAACTTCCTGGGTTTTTTGTTTTGTTTTTTTGCCAAAAGGCCCCTGCAGTAGAGTCATCTGAAAACAAAGACTCATTCTGGGGCCTTGGCTTTAAAACCGTAGCAGGCTTGACCTCCCTCCACCGCAAAGGGAAGAATTCATTCTTCAGTGCACGCCTACATACCTGCATGCGAAGTTCAACAGCTTAACAAACACTCTACAAGAATGGCTTTCCCACTCTTTCCTGGATGCTTCAGACGCATTTCCTAAACTAACGACTTCTACCCAACAAGATCAGCGTTCTTGCTTTTGAGAAACTAGAGCTCTCTAAAGTCACCTAAAATGGATACCATAGTCAAGCTTTCCCAGTTGTGGAGAAGTCACAGGGGTTTCCTAGGAAGGTGATCTTATAAAGGTTGGAATATTGCCTCAATGAATCTCCCTGGTTTTCCTCCATGACAGTACTTTTAGAAGTTGTGTGTCTCATGTTTTGCCTTCCTGGCATGATTTTAACTTACCTTTAGCTCTAGAATTTAAGCTGGTTCTTGAGCCAGAGGCTGGTTGCAACAGTAGGACTCCTTCATGCAGCCCATGGTGCTCTTCATATTGTTTCCCATGGGGGAGAATATGAAATCTTCAGCACTATCCCAGCTGTCTCAAAACTACTACCGCTGAAGTAAAGAGCGGTGTTTTCCAATTTTTTTTCCATGATAAGCAAGGGTAGAGGGTATTTCTCTTTAGTGGTGTCGGAGACCAGCTTCAACAAAATGGGGATCAGGAAAATACCAAAGAGAAAAAAAGACACAAGTGAAAATAACAAAACAGAAGACTTAGGATAGTACTGGGAGGGAGTTCCAGTGAATACGCCCATGTTTAATTTTTCCTTACAGCTTTATACCCCAACACAACAGGGGAAGAAGACAAAAGGCTGCTTTAACACGACACAAAGGACAGTTAATTAGAAGTTATTTGCTTTAATACTTTGAGACATCAAGTCATTAACATTCCGTTGTTTAGGCAGTGAACCCACCCTAGACCAAGTGTCCTGAAGGCAGCCACTCCCAAGGTCAAACCTCCTATTTCAAAATAAGGAGCAGAAGTAGGCTTGAATTTCCTGACCATTGGTCAGGGTGTGTAGCCACACTTGTCAGCAACTTTGAACAAACCGAAACTCTCTGACCTTCAGACAGGGTGGAAAAAGGCTCCCGTCTTTGGGCCTCTACAGGTGGTTAATAGGTAATTTGTCAACCGAAGATTTCGAAAATTCTTGGGAGGACAGGGCTTTAAACGCCTTCAGGACATTAGAGTACTTAAGACTACTGTGTAGATAAGGCAGTCACCCTCCCAAGATGGTCAGCTAGGACTTGTGGTGGCCTGTCCTTTAGATGAGCTGTGACCCGTTTTAAGTAGGAAAATCAACCATCAAGAGTGTATTTTTGCTTCATTTGACCAATCCAGACTGGCACTGGGGCCAAATCCGTGGCTAAGGCAGGCCAAGGCCTTTGAGAGTCAGTCTGGCCCAGGATAATCTCTGCCGAGCAGACTTGCCTGGAATGGTCAAGGCTGAGACGTGGTGGGAGAGTCAACATAAGCAGAACCACGTCCACACCACTAGAACCCTACCGACACTGCTGAACAAACTAACTCTTGATCATTCGTCCCCTTTCACAAGGAATTGTGACATCAGTCATGAGACTCTGAAAACAAGCCCACATACTTAGATACGTAGCATAATAGCCCTCTAGGTTTTTCTGGCACCTATGACGTCAGGTAGCCTAGCAGGAGGTAGATCAGAATTGAGTTGAATGCTAGCTTTCCTTCCAGAGTCCCAGAGCTCTGTGTTTTGTGCAGTTGGGGCCTCCTGATAGTATCTATGAATACTTCCGCTTAAAGCAGTGATGTTCTGTAGGGTCTTGTGATGTATGTTTTAAGATTTTACAAAATCTTAGCCAGATATGGTGGTACAAGCCTTTAACCAGCACTGGGAGGCAGAGGCAGGCAGATCTCTGTGAGTTCGAGACCAGCCTGGTCTACAAGAGCTAGTTCCAGGACAGGCTCCAAAGCCACAGAGAAACCCTGTCTCGAAAAACCAAAAAAAAAAAAAAAAAAAAAAAAAAATTCCATTTAAATTCTCTCAAGTTCTGCTAGGCAAGAGCTCTGCCAAGTCTGCTGTAATGAACAATGACCGTCTCCCCACTACAAAGGAATACTCAAAAGACATTAACGAGGACAGTTTTTCCATTCTAAATCATTGGCTGTTATTAGCGGTTTTCACTTGTGCAAGCAGATTATATTTCTACACTTACACTTGACAATTGATCTGAACATCATCAGAACCAATGATCTAAGAGTTGAAGCCAAGCTGAAAGATAACAGCGAGGCAAGTGTCATGTGTTTCTGGGAAGGTGGCTCAGTTGGAAAAAGTGCTGCGCAAGCAAGGGGAACTGAGTTTGATCCCAGATACCACTGGGAAGCAAATACTGGCAAGTAACCCTCCTTAAAAAAACAAAACAAAACAAATAAAGGAACAATAAAACCAAGGTGGGCAGTGCCTGAGGAACACGATTTCTGGCTTCCTTGTATACCTGTGTCCATGTGAGTGCACATACACACACACACACACACACACACACACACACACACACGCACACACACACGTGCACACACGAGTCATGTAGCAAACGTTTTAGCACATTCTAATGATCAGAAGCAAGCACAAGACTGTCCAAGATTGGAAGTGAAAGGACTAGGCAAGGACATCATCACCAGATGAGGTTAGGGTTTGGGACACAATTTGGAAATCAGATACCATACTGTCATAGGCAAAACCAAATTCAGATGGGGAGAACTGATTATCTTGTCCCTTTGCTCAAAATCAACACACAGTCCATTTCGTTCTCACTTGGCTCGGCGGTTTCTTTACTGTTCTTTACTGCAAGAGAAAAAAAGGGGAATGAACACATTTGAAATCTTTGTGGTCATCAGAAAGTTTTCTGAAAACAGGGATTGAACTGAAGTGGGAATACAGCAAAACTAAGTTTAAACATTGGCAGCGTAAGCCAGGACTTCGTTGGCATAGTGTAAGGACTCGGATCTAAATCACAGTTGTGATTCTTTGCTTAGTTCCAGGCTTAGTAGGTAGCTGTGCCCTTTGCAGAGAGTAAAGTGGTTGCTGCTGCCTTGCTACACAGTCATCTATCACAGCCGTTCCTCACCCACCAGGGTTGACGGCTCACCTCACAGAGGCGTGGTCTATTTTTGACAATGTAGGCAGGCTCCATTGCAAATGGGTTAATATACTGAAAAAGGGATGGACCTCAGGATATTAACATTAAATTTTTACTTTTTAATTTTTGGAAACTTACAGCACCACCTATTTCTAAAGTGTTTTTAGTGATCCATGAATAACTAGTAAGTGCACTTCCAGAATGCTCTAGAATGCAAAGACTCTGGGGCTTCAGATGAGGAGAATTAAGTTCTCAAAATGTGTGAGAAGACACTCACAACCTAAGATGTGATGTGCACTCTCTCTCCCTCTCCTGTACTTAGAGCATCTAACAGCTGGGGATTCAGCTATCCATGCTCAGAACAATCCGTCCCAAAGTTTAGCTGCCTATACAAATATGAATTCAATCTGATGATATAACTTAGTGGTATATATGTAAGTGTTACAGCTCAGAAAGGAAGGTTTCCTGACAGTTGGAAGCCAAGGTACAGTTCAGAAGGGAAATGTGTCCTAGCAATCGGAAACCAAGGAGTCCCTACAGTAATGAGAGGAAATAGACCACTCCAGATTGTTACAGCTCTGTTCTGGTGTGGGGAAGATTTCCCCAGCAAAGTGTTACAGTCCTTGCTCTGGGGAAAGGTTTCTCTAATGCAAGCATAACAACTTTGCTCCAGCAGGGGAGGGTTTCCTCAGCAAGGTTGTTACAGCTCTGATCCGCTGTGCTCCAGAGAAATGTTACAGCTCTTCTCAGCTTCCTCTGAGTGTAACAGTTCTGCTCCAGTAAGGGAATGTTTTCCCAGCCGAGGTGTTGGCCGCCCTGCTCTGCTCTGGTGAAAACTGTTACATCTCTGCTCTGCTCTGCTCTTCTTAGGCAAAAGAAACTCCTTACAGCAAAGCTCGTTCTAGAGGTTTATTGAATAGAGGTATCCAGGAGAATGATTGCTCTGCCAGGGTGGGAAAAGGTTAGCCACAAACTGAACAGGTTCAGGACTTATATCAGGTTTTTTCCGGGCAGAGCATTCCAAGGTGGAGATTTTCAGAGTGGAAATTGGTAGGATATCAATACCGAGACCCAGCTCAGAGATTGGTTGGATTTCATGCCCAGGGACTGGTTAGTTTCATGCCCAAGGACTAATTGGTTTTCGTGTTCTTGACATGGTTGGTTTTCATGCTAAGGGACGGATTGGATTTCAATTGTGTGGTATACTTGCAGTGTGATTTATGTTATAATATGTAAAAAACTGTTTCATTCTATTAGAAACATGCTGGAGCATTGTCAGTATTAATTTGTACAGGTATCCCCATGATGGTTATAACTTCTAATAAATGTGTAATTCCAGAATCAACCTTTTCAGAATTCAAAGCAGTTGCCCATTGAAATCCTGAATACGTATCTATGGTATGGTATACATATTTTAATTTTCCAACTGCTGCAAAATGAAACACATTGTTTGCCAAATTTTATTTCTTTGTGTACTCCTTGGGTTACCTCCTGCAGGCAGTGGATTTTAACAAATAGGACATTTCCTTATAATTTCCTTGGCTGTTGATAGTTCTTTCTTTAAACCCCTTGCTATTAACATGGTGTTTGTTATAAAATTCTGAGACTTCTAGCACATTTCCTAGTAATAGGTGATAAAATTGT